TTTTGTAATTTGCATGTCCTAAAATTTCAAGCCAGTCTATGTACATTACCTGTATCTGAACATCTCCTCTTTCAGCCAAAAATTTGTAGTATTGGTATATGTCCCAATCCAAAATCTCACTGTTAGAACTCAGATTTTCAGGTCTTTCAGTTAGTCTCACTTTTTCCACTGGAATACCTTCACTTTTTTCCAATTTGTCAGCCACTGTGAGTAGAAACAAGTTGGAGAATAGCCAGCATACATGGGTTGCAAAAGGTAACAGTCAGCTTAGAGAAAACGCTATTAAGCCTACTCTTTTCAAATTGTGCCAAGATCTGGTCTCTTAACAGAAAGAAATATCCTTAAGAAATAGAAATGTGCTAATTTCATTTATTTGGTTCTGAGAAAAGTACAAGACACTCCTTATTCTTTGAAACCCATACAAACATACAACATATATCAGACCTTATTGAAGATATTGGCCAAAAAGGCTCATGAAAGAAGACACATTTTAGAAGGAGGCAAATGACCCCTTTTTCCACTGACTTTTTCCAGGTATATCAAAACTACGGTATAAGAGTAACAACTGCTTTTTTATTACGTCTTGTGGATAGTCTGAAAATAAATATAAATATGCTTGAGGAAACCTAATAAAGTATGCAGCTTGAACTATATATGTAGTTCTCTCCATATATATAGTAATTCTAGTTTCATTAAGCATATAAAACATTTTGTTATATATAACATCTTAAATTAAAAAGTAGTTTTTTCTTCTTTCTTTTCTCAGATCCTGACAATGCCAAAGATGTAAATTTAGATGTTATTCTGATTATAGAATTTAACCAAATGGACTTTACCTTATTCACTTATTGTAAGACTTTTATTTAAAACTCTATTATGTAGTTTATTCAGTGATGTTGTATGAGGAAATGTCATAAACAACGTAGAAAATTCTAGAAGTATATATTAATATCATACCCTTTTTTTTGTGGACAAAGGCTAGGGTAATAGAATAATAGTTGTTTGAATTGTTCTCAAGTGCTATGATAGAGATTGCCAATGTATATACCTTCATTTCTGCAGGAATTTTTAACAAGTCGTCTCATATTCTAAATGTTAGAATTAGGGAAACTGCTTAATGTTTATCAATGTTATACAAAAATTCTCACTTTAAGGAAAGAACATCACAAGATCAAGTAAAACAGAACTGTTTGGAGATGTAGTAACAAAAATAAAAGATGAGGACAGTCATTTAAAACTTTTTAAAAAGTATTAAGAAATCAGAAACTCTATATTGTATTAAAAGAATTGTATTATAAATGAGGTGAAAGTATAGTCTTTAAATACCTTCATAAATATGTTAACTAGTATTGATTTGTTTTTTTAATTACTTGGCAAGTCTGTTTATCTTAAAATAAATTATGTGGATTACTCACTATAATCTGCCACTTTCTTGTAATGATTTAGGGCAACTTCACAATTCTGTAGAACATTGATTCCTGACAAATATCTGTACCCCTAAAACACAGGCATATGTATTCTTAATATTCTGACAATGCTGTATTTATAAACACCTATTAGGGCCAATGAATGTTTAATTACAAACCAAAATCATCTGGGACATCATGCTTCCTCCAGCACTTCCGAAGGTATAATATATCAGTGCCTAAAGTTAAAAACAAGTTATTGGTCATCTAAATTTGAAACTCAAACCCATCAGTGCTTTTTTATTCCTAGTCCAACAATGAGCCTTGAACTCCTCCTAAATAAATTCCAGATTTTACTGTCTTCCTCTGTAGAGATGGCTGCTGGGGGCTTACTAAGCCCTGGAGTCTGTGAAAGGGGGACTGAAGCCTGATAAGGCGGAACATGAAGAAACCAATGACATTAGAACCCCAGACTTCTCTGACTATTGAGCTGGTGCTTTTAACCACCACACTAGGGTGAGCCTTTCAGCTAAACAGCAGACTCTCTATTCGATGTCCTTATTTAAGAAATGAGTTTTGTTCCAGAAAAAATCGAATGACCTTACCTTAGCTTGATTGTATTCCATTCCTATTCCGTAAGAAGACAAAAATCCTAATGCCTAAAGCCCAAAAGAAAAAAAAAAACCTCAATAAATCCATTTATTTCACAGCTATTCTTATCTACATTGGTAGGGGATATTTAAATGTCTGCTTTATGATAATCTGTATTGTTAATTTATTTCTTATACCATTACAAAATGCCTTATTATACTTTTGCTAAGGCTGTAAGAATTTGGAAAATGTCGAAATGGTGGGAATTTTGTATAATACATGTGAAAATAGGCTAATACTTACTGAATTGTAGTGTAAATTATAGTACTAAAACATTATAAACCAATACTCTTCATGCACTTGCCTTTCTTGGCAATGAAAAAACTTTTTTATCCAATATATTTAATTTGAATTTGAATATTTTTCTTCACATTTTATTTTTAAAATGTGATGAATATAAAAAGTTTGAACAGGAAGAACTATATTGGATAAAAACTGAAAGTCTGAACACAGAGCAAAATGGTGGAATAGGAAGCCCCAGACTCCGTTCCTCCAATTTAGCAATAATATACAGTCCAAAAAGCCTTTACGAGAACTCCAGAAACCAGTTAAGAAATCAAGTTCAAAACAAAGAACAGGCCATTGAAGTGGATTAGAAAAGCCATGTTATTTAATCTGCAGCCACTCCGTTTCCAAGCCAGCAAACTTGGTGTAATCAGGAGAAAAAGTCCAATTTGGAGCTTCTCCCCTGGGAAGGAAAGAGAAGAGTGGAAGGGGTCCAATGTTCTAGCTTTTGGTTGTAGTGCCTGAGGGACTGGTTTCTGTCTTGTCTGACAGGGTGCTAATGGGGAACCAACAAACTTTGGATTCCCCAGGGGCTGCTGAGAACCGAAGAGCTCAGTAGATTGTTCCAGCACCAGAGAACGTGTAGCACACTGCAGATGGCAGCCAGCACAACTTGGCACAATCAGGAGGCAGAGCCCAGCTCATGGCTTCAACTTTGGAAAGGAAAGAGAAAAATGGAACGGGGATTCTGGCTTTTGAAGAGAGGCTGCTCAAAGATCTGGCTTCTATCTCATCTGACTTGGAGCACGGACAGAGCTGTACCCTAAGTACAAAAAAGAACTTAGAAGCTTGTTGCAACACCAGAAAACCCGCAGTACCACAGACAGACACCAGAGAGAGCAAGAGATTACAAACTTCCGAAAAAGAAACCAGCAAACTACTCTAATTAGGAAATTACAAACCCAAGCCCAGAGAAGATACAACTTCGGAAAATATTTGAGAGGCCTCCAGAATCTCTAGCCATGTTTATTGTGAAGGCCTTCCTCTGTACAAATCCAGTCCACAAAGACTGGGAGAGGTGGCTGTTTCTCCAAACGCATAAATCACAGCGAAAAAATAACAAAGTGATGAAGAAACAGGGAAATATGGCCCAATCAAAGAAATAAAATAAATCTTAAAAACTACTCTAAAGAAGTGGAGATATATAAATTACCAAACAATTCAAAATAATCATCTTAAGCTCAAAGTGCTACAAGAGAACACAAATAAACAACAAAACAAAATCAGGAAAGTGGTGCCTGAACAAAATGAGAATATCAACAAAGAGAAACTATTAAAAAAGACCTTACAGAAATTCTGGAGCTGAAGAATACAATAACAGAACTTAAAATTTCACTAGAGGGTTTCAACAATAGACTTGATCAAGCAGAAGAAAGAATCAGTGAACTTGAATAAGGTCATTTGATATGACAGTCAGAGGAACAAAAAGGAAAAAGAATAAAGAAAAATGAAGGAGGCCTAAAGGACTTAAGTGGCACCAACAAACTGAACAATATGCACATTATGAGTGTCGCAGGAAAAGTGAGAGAAAAAGGGGTAGAGAGCTTATTTTAAGAAATATTGACTGAAAACTTCCCAAACCTAAGGAAGAAAATGGGTGTCCAAATTCAAGTCCAAAGAACTCTAACCAGGATGAACTCAAAGAGGCCCACATCAAGACATATTATAATTAAATTCTCAAAACTCAAAGACATAGAGAGAACGTTGAATGCAGCAAGAGAAACAAGACTTGTCAACAAGAGAGTTCCCATAAGATTATGAACAGATCTCTCAGCAGAAATATGGTAAGCCAGAAGGGCACAGGAAGATATATTCAAAACGCTGAAAGGAAAAAGCTGTCAACCAAGAATACCATATCTGGCAAAACTGACCTTCAAAAATGAAAGAGTAATAAAGAACTTACCAGATAAACCAAGGCTGAGGGAGTTCATCACCACTAAATCTGCCTTACAAGGACTTCTAAAGGGAATCCTTCACGTTAATGTGAAAGGATGTTATCCAGCAACACAAAAGCACACAAAAATATAAAGCTCTCTGGTAATAATACATATGCAGACAAACAGGATCCTGTAATACCGTACTGGTGGTATAAATCATTTTTAATTCTGGTATAGAATTTAAGAGATAAAAGCATAAAAGATAACTATAGCTCAAAAAACTATGTTAATGGATACAAAATATAAAAAGTATGATTTGTGTCATTGACAACATAAAGTGGGAGGAGAGCAGAGTGCATGTGATTGAAGTTGAGTTGATAGCAGTTTAAAATAGATTGTAATAACACGTTTTATGTAATCCCATGGTAACTACAAGGAAAATACCTATAGAAGATGCACACAAAAAAATGAGAAGGGAATTAAAACATGCCACTACAAGAAAATAAATGAAAGACAAAGGAAGGCATCAAGAGAGGGATAGAATAACAAAGTAAGCATAAGACAAATAGAAAATAACGAACAAAATGGAATAACAAAGTAAGTATAAGACAAATAGAAAATAACGAACAAAATGGCAAAAGTGAGAGTCTTTCCTTGTCAGTAATTACTATAAATGTAGATGAATTAAACTTCCTCAATTAATAAACACAGAGTGGCTGAATGGATAAAAAACAAGATCCAACTTTATGCTGTGTAGGGAAGACTCACTTTAAATATAAAGTTACAGATGGGCTGAAAGTGAAAGAATGGAAAAAGATATTCTATGCAAATAATAACTAAAAAAGAGGGATGATCACATTTATGTCAGGCAAAATAGACTTTAAGTCAAAAACTGTCACAAGTGGCAAAGGACATTATATAATGATAAAAGGGGCAATTCACCAGGAAGATATAACCATTATAAATATTTATGCATCTAGTCCATAAAGACTGGGAGAGGTGGCTGTTTCTCCAAATGCATAAATCACAACAAACAAATAACAAAGTGATGAAGAAACATGGAAATATGGCCCAAAGGAATAAAATAAATCTTTAAAATTACCCTAAAGAAATGGAGATATATAAATTACCAAATAATTCAAAATAATCATCTTAAGCTCAAAGTGCTACAAGAGAACACATATAAACAACTAAACAAAATCAGGAAAGCAGAGCACCCAAATATATGAAGCAAACATTTACAGAATTGAAAGGAGAAATAGACAGTGACACAATAATAGTAAGAAATTTTAATTTCTCACTTTCGATAATGAATAGAACAACCAGACAGAAGATCAGTAAAGAAACAGAGGAGTTGAACAATACTATGGACTAATTAGAGCTAGCAGACATATATCAAACATTCTCCTCAACTACAGCAGAATACAAGTTCTTCTCAAGAGCACATAGAAAATTCTCCTGGACAGATCATATGTTAGGTCACAAAACAAATATCAAGTATCTTTTTGGAGTATGTGGAATGAAACCTGAAATCAATAGCTGGAAAATCCACAAATATGCAGAAATTAAGCAACACACTCTTGAATAACAAATGGGTCAAAGAAGAATCACAAGAAAAACTAGAAAATATCTTGAGACAAATGAAAACCAAAATACAACATAACAAAACTTATGCAATACAGCAAAAGCAGTACTAAGAGAAAGTTTATAGAGATAAAAACCTACTTTTATAAAAAGATCTCAAATTGACAACTCAACTCTACACTGCAAGGAACTATAAAAAGTAGAATGAACTAGACCCAAAGTTAGTAAAAAGGAAGGAAATAATAAAGACTAAAGAAAAACTAAACAGAGAATAAAAAACAGTAGGAAAAAATCAATAAAACTACGAGTAAGTTTTTTCAAAGATGAATAAAATTAACAAATGCTTAGACTTAGGAAAAAAAGGCCCAAAATACAAAAATCAGAGGAGACAGAGGAGACAGACGTTACAATTGATGCCACAGAGATAAAAATGATTATAAGAGAGTACTATAAGCAATTATACACCAGAAATTGGATAATCTGGAAGAAATGAATAGAGAAACACAGAATTTATGAAGACTGAATCATAAAGAAATAGAAAATCTAAACAAATCTGTGACTAGAAAGATTAAATCACTAGTCAAAATCTTCTACAAAGAACAGCCCAGGACCTGATGGCTTCACAGGAAAATTTTACCAAATATTTAAAGAATACCACCAATCCTCTTCAACCTCTTCCAAAAAACTGAAGAGTAGAGAACACTTTCAAGCTTTTTTTTTATGAGGCCATCATTACCCTGATACTAAAGCCAGACAAAGACACCACAAGAATAGGAAACGACAGACCAATATCTCTGATATATACCGATAAAAAAATCTTCAACAAAATACTAGCAAACAGAATTTAAGAGCACATTAAATGGATTGCACATCATGATCAAATGGCATTTATTCCTAGACTGCAAGGATGATTCAACATAGGAAACTGATGAAAATATGTACAGTTGGGCCTCTGTATCTGACGGGTTCCACATCCACAGATTCAGTCACTGCAGTTCAAAACCATTTTTAAAAGTCCAGAAATTTCCTAAAAGCAAACTTAAATTTACTGTTTGCTGGCAACTATTTACATAAAATTTACTTTGTATTTAGTATTGTAAGTAATCTAGAGATGATTTAAAGTATACAGGAGGATGTGCATAGGTTATATGCAAACATTACACCATTCTACATAAGGGACATGAGCATCTGTGGATTTTTGTATCTGTAGGGGGTCCTGGAATGAATCCCCCATGAATACCACCAGACTACTGTACCACACT